AGCGCACAGAGCAGCCCTGCCAAAATGCACCACGAGGAAATCGGCGCCTGCCCCCGGCGTGTCTGCAGCTCTGCGCTCAGCCTTCTCTGCAAATCGCAGCGGATGGAAGCAAAGCGTGGAATCTCAGAATCCTGCGTGGCCTGGGCTGCACAGGAGCGCGGCGCTCGCCAGGCCTTTGGCGCGGTGCCCCACCACATCCTGGTCTCCAGTTGGAGGGATGTGGATGTGATGGGGGGCCACGCGATGGATAAGGAATTGGCTGAAGGGCCGCAGGCAGAGGTGGCCATCAATGGCTCCGTGTCCAGGTGGAGGCTGGTAATGAGCGGCGTCCCCCAGGGGTCTGCCCTGGGACCGGTGCTCTGTAACATCTTTATCAGTGACATCAGTGATGGAATCGAGTGCACCCTCAGCAATTTGCTGACAGCACCAAGCTGAGTGGTGCGGTTGACACGGTTGGAGGAAGGGATGCCATTCAGAGGGACCTCGAGAGGCTGGAAGGGGGGGCTGGGTGAACCTGATGAGGTTCAACACGGCAAAGTGCAGAGTTTGGCACTGGGGCCGGAGGAATGCCAGGCATCCCTACAGACTGGAAGGAGCGGGCCTTGAGAGCAGCCCTGCAGAGAAGGACCTGGGGGTCCTGATAGACGAAAAACTTAACATGAGCCAGCAGTGTGTCCTTGTGGCTTGGAAGGCAAATGGGATCCTGGGCTCCATCAGCAGAGGGGCGGCAGCAGCAACAGGGAGGTGATTGTTCCCCTCTGCTCTGCTCTCGTGAGGCCCCGTCTGCAGCACTGCGCCCAGGGCTGGGGGTCCCAGGACAGGAAGGACAGGGAGCTGCTGGAGAGGGGCCAGAGGAGCACGGAGATGAGCAGGGCTGCAGCACCTCCACTACAGAGACAGGCTGAGGGAGCTGGGCTCGTTCAGCATGGAGAAGAGAAGCTGCGGGGTGAATCAGTGCAGCCTTCAGCACAAGGGAGCCTACAGACAGGAGGGGAGTCAGCTCTTGGGAAGGGGAGATGGCAGCAGGACGAGGGGATGGTTGGAATTGAGGGAGGGCGGATTTCAGTTGGATGTGAGGGGGAAGTTGTTTGCTGTGAGAGTGGTGAGGTGCTGGAACAGCTGCCCAGAGAGGCTGTGGATGCCCCGTCCATCCCTGGAGGTGTTGGAGGCCAGGTTGGATGGGGCCCTGGGCAGCCTGGGCTGCTGTGAAATGTGGAGGTTGGTGGCCCTGCATTGGTGGGGGTTGGAGATCCATCATCCTTGAGGTCCCTTCCAACCCAACCATCTGTGATTCCATGATTCTGTGATTCCAACCCCTGCTGTGTGCAACCAGCAGCCCGGGCTGCCCAGAGCCACAGCCAGCCTGGCCTGGGATGCCTGCAGGGATGGACAGCAGTGACTGAGGAGGCACTGGTTTTTTTTGTAGCACCATTGCAGTAACTCGTGCAACTGTTTCACTTCCCCTGTACTTGGAATCTCTGCTCGTTTCGGTTGGATGTGAGGAGGACGTTTTTCAGCCAGAGGTGCTGAGGCAGTGGAACAGGCTGCCCAAGGAGGCTGTGGATGCCCAACAACACTTGGCTGCGTTGGACCTCATCAGGTTGCACCTTTGAAGCCCATTGAGGTCCCTCTGAACGGCAGCCCTTCCTTCCACCGCCTCAGCCGCACCTCTCAGCTCGGTGTCACAGCGTCACAGAACGGCCAGGGCTGGAAGGGACCCCAGGGATGATGAAGCTCCAACCCCCTGCCGCATGCAGGCCACCACCCTGCACGTTTAATACCAGCCCAGGGCCCCATCCAACCCGGCCTCAGCACCTCAGGGATGGGGCATCCCTGTAACAGACAAGAAAGCTGTAATCAGTTCTAGGAGCAGCTTGACTAATTCTTTACAGGAATTGCATTGCACAAGAAGGGCCTCGACTGACTTCCAATCTAAAGCTCTGAAGCTCTCTTTCTTTCAAAACAAACGTTGGCTCCCTCTGTCACACCTCATGACACAGCTTGTGAGGATCAAAATTCCCTCATCTTGCTCATTTCTTGGCTGCAGCAAACCTACCAGCGTAGGTGCACCGACTCTATGAAATGTTCTTGCTGTTTTCATTTTGAACGTGTCTGCTGGCAGCTTCCATAAATGCCACCTTTCCCTTATGCTACAAAAGAGATGGGGAGCACCGTGCCGGGAGGAAAAAGGTGCATCCAGTGCCACACACAGGTGTCTGAACTGTATTTTTTGTTATAAAGCTCCTCTATCTTCAGGACTGTGCAGACAGTTGGAATCACAGAATCACAGAACGGCCAGGGCTGGAAGGGACCTCAAGGATGATGAGGCTCCAACCCCCACCAATGCAGGGCCACCAACCTCCTCATTTAATGCTGGACCAGGCTGCCCAGGGCCCCATCCAACCTGGCCTTGACCACCTCCAGGGACGGACGGGGCACCCACAGCCTCTCTGGGTTGTGGATCCATCCACAGCTGTTGCAGTGTCAGATCAGCCATCCCTGCCCTCATCCTGAGCGCTGCGCCCCTCCCCGGTTTGGCTCCGAGCTCCTTGCCCCCAGCTGCTCTGCAGGGCTATGCTGGCCCCCTCCCCATCACTGCTCACCACTGGGCTCCTCCTGGTGCTCCTCAGCCCTGCGTGACCACCGCCAGTGGGAGGGAGCAGGAAGGCAGCGTCTGCACAAAGCCGGCAGTGGACAGAGAGCTGTGTGGCCTGGAGTTCGGGGGACGCTTGATGTGCTTTAGTGGGAGCGATTGGTGATGGTCGGACTGGGGGATCCTGTAGGGCTTTTCCAACCTCGGTGTTTCTGTGGTTCCGTGATTCTGTAACGTCTTCCTCCAGCCCTGGCACTGCCTGGGCATTTCAGGTCCCTGCTGCAGGGAAGCGAAGGCTGTGCGCTGCCTGGCAATGCGACGGATCCCTTCTGCCGCTCCCGGCTTTGACCCGTTCCAGGCACTGTGTTTGTATACATTCACTTACAGGGTTAAACACGACTTTCTCCGTCTGGCCCGAAGCTGTCCTGCTGGATTTTCCTGCCTTCAGCCCAGCTGAGTCTCACGGAGGACCAGCAGGCAGCAGGCGCAGGCACGGGTCTGTGCCGATGCGGTGATTTAAATCCGTGTCTCCGCGGCTTCTCTTCGCTGCCGTCCTGAAGGAATCTCTTCCCTTCCCTCGTGGTTCCGCACGGTAATTTCTCGCTGTAAAGAACTTCGGAAGTCTGGCTTACAGACGCCCAGCGCTACGACGGTGAGCAGCGCCGACGTGAGGAGCAGCGCGCGGCTCCGCTTGTTTGTAGCCGCGTTCAGCTGCTGCCACCGTCCTGTTCCCCCCGGAACGACGCGGGATGCGGCGCAAGGAGCGAAGCTTCCTGCTGCCAGGTCGGCCGCCTTCAGCACACGACCGACTGGCAGTGAGCTCAGCTTCAGCCTGCCGGGACATCGAGTGCGATGCGATGAACAGAAAGCAGCCGCCGGCCCTGGCCGGGCACGGTCAGAAAAAGGCTGGGGATCATCCCCTGCCCTCAGCTCAGCACTCCTTTTAGCAGCACCCAGCTTAGCAGCAAAAGTTGCGTTTGAATTCCTTATGTGTATTTTATTTGCACAAAGCAGGGAAGATGCACAGATTGTAAAGCTGGGAGAAAATGTGCTGCCTCTTCTGCTCTGCACGAAAATGAGTCCGGAGGAGCATCACGGAGATGCTCGGGGGGCTCTGAGATGCTCAGAGGGCTGGAGCTGCTCTGCTATGAGGAAAGGCTGAGGAACTGGGCTCGTTTGGCTCGGAGAAGAGAAG